GGAAGGCACCTGATCCTCAATAATAAGGTTTGTTTTTGGGTTCTCAAGTGTGAAAAGTTTTTTCCACTGGAAAAAATGCGCATGCAATCTCCCTTTACTTAGCTCCTGAGAAGGAAGCCATGGAAGCTGAGGAAGAAGCTGAGAGCTTGGGGCTTCTCTTGAGTTGAAGTTCTGAGGCTGCAAAGCAAAGGATTGTTGAGAACAATTACAAAGCACCTGAGAAAGGAAGCTGAATACCACAATCAATTACAAAAGGAATCCTCACAGGAATCCAGAATTGTTTTGGTGGTAGTTTATTATAGAGGAACCCCTAATTGTTTGAGGGGGGGGGGGGAACCCCCTTTACTAATCAGGATCGAACATTACTACTACCACCACCACTACTGCTACTGTTACTCCCACTGTCAGGTAGGGTTGTTAGATTTTATGTCAGCTGCCTTCCTCCTCACCTCCTCCTCCTCCTCCTCCACGTCCGCCTCCGCCCCGTCCTCAACAGGCAGGTCCGGATGGCAGTGTTCCCTGCCGGACCTCAACCGCAAGTGCAGGATGGCAGCGTTCCGCGCAGGACCTCAACCAGCACACAACCACAAACACACTGCTCCACAAACACACAAGCACAATCACAAACACGTAACACAAACACAGCCACAAAGACACATCTACAGCACATAACCACAGCACACAACCACAACACGCAACCACAGCAAACGACCATAACATCCAACGACAATCATAACCCGAGGACCCACAAACAAAGTCGAGACCCGCAAAGCTCACGACCACTGCATGAAGACACATGATTGAAATGTCATGGTGGGAATCACTGGAAGTAGAGTAGAGTAATCATATTGCTTTTGATTCGTTAATTGTTTGATAGCTCACCCAGAGCATCAGAGCCTCAGTCACGCTACTCGAGACATAGCCAAACATGTTTAGCATAGCAAGACTGAAGCTTATGAACACCAAGAAGTTCAGCAATGCAACTTTTGTTTTCCATAATTTGCTGAAGGAAGTTTAGATGCGAAGCTTCTGAGTTACTATACGGAGAACTAGATGCGAGACTCACTGCAACCTGTGATGATTGGATGATTCTGGCTTCTCCTTCTGACAACCGAGAAGCTGCTTGACGTCATAGAAATTCCCGCTGTGTTGCATCTTCGGGCACTTGTTGAACCATGTGTCGAAATCCTTATGGGGCCTGGCAAGGTACCCAAACTCCGGCTTCTTGCCCCGGTGGTCAAGATGGTTCGCAAAGCAATCAATTTTGTTTTGAACGGTTTTTATGTCTAGCCCCAAGTCTTGTATACGCACTGTCTTCGTGGATGTTCTGAGAACGCTCAGGCTTAGATTCAACAGAAAGCAGGCCAAACTACAGCAAACCTGCTGGGCAGCGCAGCAACCCCGCCTGGGGTGATTCGGTACAAATACCCATTTCTCCTCTTCAAGAAATCGTTCCTCACAAAAGCGCTGCTAAAACGCTAGGGGTGTGTCAACATCATTGGCGCTGCCCGCTGACCAGCGAAGCAGGACCTGAAGGAGTTTGTCCAAGACTCCAGGCTTGTCCGTCCAAAGATCTTGTCCATAAGACTTCCCGCCACAAGTGTTGCACCACCTTGATCTGCTTCAGGGTCCTGGTGCAGATTTGGAATTTTGTTTAGACAAACAAACAGAGCATAACAAAGCCGGCCGGCTGGGTAAAACCAGATCGGGTCAGGCTGAGTTGTCAACAAGTCCAGACATGTCCAGCACTCTGCCAGGATGTCCTGTCTACCCATTCTGCCGTATAGCGAGGCCAACTCTGCAATCGTGAGTTGTAGATGTTCCTCAACAAACTCGCAAAAAAACCAGGCAGCGCGGTACTCAGAATGGTCTGCAACAGCTCCATACGCTGACATGGATGTCCTGCGAGCGCAGGTGCTCCACAATGGCAATCAAAGTCGATGGTGAAGGAGAAGTTTCAATACCCAAAGCGGGCCACGCCTAATCATTGCAGTGAAACAAAAATGGATTCTTGATGGTTCTTGCTCAAAATGCTAGAAAGTCCTGGCATACTAAAGACGTCCGTAATGCAGTCTGTTCCATATTTGATTCGACTAATGGCTTTTGTGGCCGACTCACCTGCCTGCGCGAATGGAGAGACAGAGGCATCAAAGTTGAACCTTTCTTCCACCTTCTCATGCTTCTCCGGAAGCCAAGCAAGATTCATAGGTACAACTTCTCCTCTTGTGGTCGGAAGCCTAAGACAGGGAGAAGCTAGACTAGGTGAGGTCATGATGCTCATGGCCTGAAGCTCTGCTGAGTCAAGCTGCCAGGGTTGCTTGCAAAGGAGCTGTGCAATTTCAGATGGTTCATTCTGGCCTTTGGTGCGACTGATTTGCAGAAAGTCTGGCAAACTGCACACCAGTTTTGAAACGCAATGGTTTTTCTTGTCTAACTGTCTAATTAACATCTGTGGGTAGGGGGTCAGGCCTGTGTGCCTTCATATGCTATATATAACAATACCCCCCGCAGCCTAGCTTCTTCCAGGTTTCCAGAGGAACTGCGAATAGTATTCACCATGCGGCGCCAAAAGTGCCACCACCTCCCTTGCAAGATCTGGAGTGCTTGAGGCAGCTAGCAACCTGACATACAAGTAGATCAGAGAAAAGGAAGGAAACATACGCACATATTGACTCATACATGGAGAAGCATCGTGAACCACACGTGTTTCTAATTGTTTCACGAGATCAAACGCCTCACCAGCTCCTCACTGCAAAAGTCTTCTTGGAGCTCTTCCACTTGAAACACCGGAGCAGCTCCAAGAAGCATCCAAAATGCTTCCCAGGATGACGCCTGGTTGTGCGGGATTCGACGCATCCAACAAGAGAAACGCAACGAGATCCAACGCGAAAGCTCTTGCGGGAGACTTGGCATCCGCCTCTTTGCTCTCCGCCGCCTCTTCGCAATATGCAGAGGATGGAGCCAACCAATCCTGCGCAAGGAACAGTCCAAAAACTGTGCCACATCTCGCGAGGTCCAACAAGAAGCTCAGCGACAACCTGTTCCATGTCCAGCCAAATACAGCTATTTTGCACTTGATTCAATATTATTCAAAAAATATTCCAGTTTCAGCACTCAACCACAGAACTCTGACCACTTTAAATCAAGCCAAAGGGCAACTCCGACCACTTTGTCTACAAGTTTGCCAGGAAGTGGACTCACATGGAGCCCTGTGCGAGTTTTTCCACCCACCTTCCAATCAGAGTCAGCTGATGGGATGCAAACAATGTGGCAAACACGGCTGGTCAAAAACACATTTGCCTTCACAGCCTTGCACTCGGATGCGCCAGCGGAAGCCAACACCTAGCGACGTCCGTTCTGTGGGAGGTTGCAAAGTTTGACCAAAGCAGAACTCAAAACAAATGTCAGTTTGAGGTCACAGTGTCACATGTCTCACGCTGACCCAAATTCACAGTCAGGTCACCCACCATCCTGCGTCACTCGCTCTCAGCGTTTCAATGAGGGAGTCCTGCACGGCTGCAGGGCTGGAAAATGCAACCATCCAACCACTATTATTGCGGAATTGTTGTATTGGACATATGCAAGCAAACTCCAACAATTCTATCAATTTTGCATGGGTTGTCCACAACTGCAGAAATAACTACACCTGACATCAACTAACATATTGAAAACAATGGCAAGGCCATGCAATGCCATCATTGTCCTTCCTGTCTTGGTCGCAAATGCCAAGCAAATGTTTGAACTGCCTGAGTCACAACTGATGCCTCTCAACAAGTTTCAATCCTCCAACCGCAATGAAAGAGTTGGCAAACGGCATCGGAACAAATAAGTTGACTTGCCCAGACCGGCCTTGTTGCTAAGACCAGCTTCTCTGCTTCACTCGCTTCACCTCAGCCAGGGGTGCTGTGTGTCAACCACATTGAACGATATCGGAAACTGCTGCTGTTCAATGCAACGCTATACTGTACTCAGGTTCTCACCGTCTATGAAACTCCCCACATATGTCCAATATGTCCAAGTAAAATTAACTATGTGTTTCTGCGACCTGAAGAATCTGAAGGACCACCATATGGAACGGAGCTTCAATCGCCAAAGGACTCTGGGTCAGCACAGGCAGGAGCACGTTCGCAAAGAAGGCCGAGCCATCAACTTGTTCAACTCCCAGTTGCACCAGGAATTCTCGAACCTAACCATCGGCAAGAAAACGACTTGACTTTCCCGCACCAACGGATTGAGCTGCCCAGAACCCTGCAACCATCCTTAGTCAAGCTGCCTCTGGTCGAGCTTTTTGAGACAAGCGAGGGTCGAGGCGCTGCCCAGCAGCACCCAACAAGGCTTCGATGCCCACCATGTCAGGCGGCACGTCATAGACTTTGAAACCTCTGGCCTCGTGGAGATCCGACATCCAATGCTTGTAACCTTATTGCAATAAAGATCAAAAAAAAGATTGTTTCTAGCAGTATGCCCATATAATGAGTGATGTTTATGTCAATATAACAATTATATCGTGTGTTGGTTTGGGTCGACTGTGTCAAGCTTTTGGAACCCACAGCACCATACCATCGGATGTTCAGCATTGCCTTCCACCCCTCCGCACTACCTTCGAGCCGGGATGACCCGTTCCGAGGGCGTCGGCCTCTTCAGCGGTCAAACACACCAGCTTGCCACCATCTGTCGGAACGATCTGCAAATTGCGCACGTCTTCAGTCAATTGTCGCTTCTTCGTAGCTGCCATAGCTACGATCAACAGCAAAAGCTGCAACACCTCGATGTCCTCGGTGCTATGTCTCAGCTTCAGTCATCATACCTGCTTCTCTTGGTTGCCCCCGGCCGGCTTTGTTGAAATCAATGCATTGGCTTTGTTGAAATCAGAAGAAAAGCCCCTTATAGGAAAAGGATGGAATTGGCATTCTTGTAGATTTGGCCAAGAAACTTCATCAGTGAGGCTGGCACTTCCCTGGTCGGCAACTTTCTGCGTGTGCAACCGTCCCATTGCCTGTTAGCACAAACGGTCTCCGATGCGATGTACCGCGTACCGTCATTGTACCGCCGCTTTCACGGTCCGTTAGCTGCAGTTTCACATCCTGGTTTCTGTGAGAGGACGGGAACGGATTTGACCCACGTAACCGACGTAACCCTCAAAGCCTTCAAGCAATCCAGGGCAATGTCTGCGTCCAGGACCTGAAAATGACAAGGACCGTCATACAAGAGTGTCAGAGAATCGAGTTGAGATATTGTTTTGGGACTTGTTGGAATCCTTCGCGTCTCCCGGAGCCCCTAAACCTCAGCAAAGAAATGAAGAGCTTGCAGCCCAGCAACAGGAACTCTAAGTCCTTCAGCAGCACGGGCTGGCATGCCACCGACTTCCACATAGCGATCAGCCTGGGGGCTGAACAAGGCGCACAGAACTGTTCATCATGTGAGACACATTTGGACTGTTCACCATCCAACTTGGGCAAGCTGCTTGCGCCTTCGCAAGCGTAACACGCAGCTCCCAAAAACAAGGCAACATAGGACATAAACGTTTAGACTTCGGAAATAGTGAGGTGAGGTTTCTCAGGGTCTTTTGCCCTTGGAAAGATCTTGGCGGGGAACTTAATTATTGTGTTTGCAAGGCAGCTAATGCGGTGTTATTTCTTGCTCAGACCGCCTTGACACGTTGCAAAACAGCACTGGGCAGGGTCTGTTGTCCAGCTTTGACGCCGCCAGTCCCACATTTCTGTGTCTCTATGTCACCAAAGGCCTGCGCCAGCAAAATGTCAATGGGTTGCTGGAGATGTGACAAGCTAGCCTCAATGGGTTGCTGTGAATTCCGACTGACAAACATGTCTTTCGGATTTGTTTTTTCCATCAATCCCGGAGGAAATCTTTACTTGTGTTGAATTGCATTCGCATATGTGGTCCTTCCATTGATCAAGGCGATTCCTGTCAATTGACCAAGCCGAAAACCGTGTCTAGGAACGCAACGCCGACAAGGCTTGAGTCAAAGAATCTGCGCAAACACTGCACAGCCAATTGCCATCCCATCCCAGAAAGACTTCAAGATCGAGGTGGAAAGCCATGGCACTGGAACTCCTTCTGGAAGTTCTGCACGCACAGCACGTCTCGGGGTGACCAATTCCAATCGCCATCGGGTCTCCTCAACGACAAACCACAGTGAATTACCATGAACTACCTACAGTATCGAGTTGCCCATTACATATTGTTCAAGTGCGTGCGTCCAACAATAGGAACCCCCCATGACCACATATCATCAGACATCCAATGGCCCAATTTCTCTCGTTGCTGCAATCATCTAAGGTTGGAACTTTCACTGGACAGTTCCAGAATGATCCGAGTTTCCTGCTCGCTCAAATCCTCATCCTCAAGGTCGCTCCCAAGATGAGAACCCTCCTTGGCTCCTGCAAATGGCCATCGGAAACGATTATTCCAATACATGAACTGCGCAAGTCAAGGTATGAGTAAGTGTATATTGGATGTTCTTGGACTTGGTGGTGTGCAAGCTTTGAGCATACACCCAAAATCACCCAGATTATACCAGATTCTTTGTCAGATTGAGGACTGAAGGCCGAGAATGTCACAGTGACAGGTGGCCACGCATCTGCTCACAATCTGGCACCTGCTTGAACTGAATGGTTTGATTGTTGCATGAAAATTCATTGCGGAACATCCCGTTCAGTTTGTCATTTGTATGAATTCATCGAAATGCGGAAATCCGGCAATACCTGAGGTATGCTGTGTCTTAAGCAGTTTGCTGTCCTGGACATGGAACTCGTACCAGAACAACAGCAACATCCATCACCGCCCGGAGGATCTTTCCATCCGTCTCTTGGAAAAAGTCTGTAGCATCGCCTCCCAGAACACCGTAGGAACGCCGCTATGTACATGTACAGCATTTGTCGAGTTTGTGGCAAAGGTGAGATGCGCAACAGTGGCCACAGGAAAGACCCAGTCCAAGTACAGGAAAAAGAATAATATATGTATATATAATTATATATATATACCTGAGAAGGGAGGGGACGAAAGACAGTCCCTGTAAAACCTATATTTTTGTTGTTATAGGGTGAAATGAAAATAGCACTTATCTCTACTGCTGTTAGCCATGGGGAAGAAGAAGAAGTCACAAAGATGCAAAGCTTCGCATTGAGGCTCGATATGACAGAGCCTAGATACAAGGACTTAATCAATCAACACCCACTGATACTGGTCATAGGACATCAACAGTTCGGGGGAGTGCCCTCTTTCTTTTGGTTAAGGGGACTTTTCACGGTCAAAAAGGGCACCCCAAGCCCCAAGCAACTGTCCTCTACTCCTCTACCTGGACCCACAATCGGGTGAGCACGCCTCAGAAGTCATCTTTTGTGGATAGAAAAAGGACATCTTATATCAATATGCAATATGCCGTTGTAAAGATGAAGCCTGCAAATGTCCTGTTGACTACGCTATTTTTGATACCGTTTGTAGCCGCCTGGTTTTCAGCGTCATTTTACATCACTCGCATCACCAAGACCCCCAAAACATAAAATTTAACTACCTTTTGGACGCCGGGACCGGCCCTGCGACCATACCCCCCCGCAGACACCCTATATTCACCTCGTCGCCCATCGACGACTCCAGCCTAGCGGCCTATTGGCTGGCTTTTGCAATATAAAGCTAGTGGCTTTCAATACGTATTGTCGTGGGTGCATAGGCAGTTCTTGTGGGGCGCTCTGCAGTGCTTGTCATGTGTCGGGCTGGTTTTGCGGCAGCAGTCACAGGAGGAATGCAAGCTGTACTTTCCAAACGCCTTTGTAGTAACTTTGTAGTCTGTCAGGTGGGCTTTCGTGTTACCGGCCGGGACGACACAGTTACATTGCAGAACAGGATGCTGAAAATGCAAAGGATAGTATGCTTAGTACTGGACAAATGGGAAAAAGAGATCTCCGAGGTGCATCGCATGAACAAAACACTGCCATCATCATGGGAAATTTGAATCCAATTTGTACTGCGATTGATGCACCAATGTACCAGTGTATCACAGTGCAGCAAGCATCAGGCACTGGTGGATTGTTGTCCAATGATTCAGAACATGCCCCAAGTGGCCTTGTCGCGGTATCGAGGTATAGAGAGGAACCAGTGCGTCACGAGCAGCTTCAATGCAATCTTCAAGTTGACTCCAAGCAGTTCCTTCCAAGTTTGGCATCAGGTCCAATTGGTCACATCCAGTCCAAAAACACCAAAGTTCAACTATACAACTTAGATAACTAACAGTAACTAACCAATTAATTCCAACTATATACAGTAATCCTGGTGATGGGGCTTCTATCCGTCTCTAAATTATATTAAATTATCAACGTTGGACTCTCAACACTCCAATGGTCCAACTGCATTGGCTGAGTTGAGGCCAGAGCCTGCTGCATTGGCATCTTCCAATCCAGCGGCCTTCAGGGCAGCTGCGGCAAAGATCTTGGCCGCTTCTCCATAGGCGTTTGGCACCTGATCCCGGATTTTCCTTAGCTGACGACTTTCGGACTTTGCGGTCGCGGTTACCATCTTGACTTGAACCCATTCGCAAGTGGGTGTGGCCAGAAACCCTGGTATGGATCGTTCCGCGCTGCAGTGAGAGTGATCCAAACCCTATGGATCAGAGCGCTGATCCAAGCCCTATGGATCAAACCGACAAGTCACTTGATCCAAGCCCCCGACATGAACACATCTGCATGGTGGCACTTCACCCCACCGCTTTCTCACCAATTCACTGTGAACTGTGCAGGTGGTGGCTTCCCAGATCAAAGCCATCCTGTTTGTGGCAAGCCTGTTTTGAAGTTCTGGCCGCTGTGAATTTGGGCTCCACTGTCCACATATTGGGCATGGTTTGGCACTGAGCGGCGGCAATGAGTGTTGGGGCACATTCTTCCTCCAACTCAAGCACGCGATGCAAGAAGCCCAAGAAGGCCATCAGCTGGCCACGCATATTGGTGACTCCGTGGGCTCTCAAGACATTTTTAACAGGTGGTGGCTCCCGCTCTAGATTGGAGGCTCACTCCGAATACTGGTTAGTGGCTGCCGCTAATTCTGTTTGGCCTTCATATTGTGTTCTAGCACCTTCTTTAATATGGGGTATTTGGGCTGGATTCTCCACTCACAGGGTTGCATAGCCTAATGGTAAAAGCGTCGGTTTTTAATTCTTCACTTCCACAGTGTGTGGGTTCAAGTCCCTGCTGTGAACACACTTAGTGGCTTCCGGTAGTTAATTTTTGGCTGGAATGGGAAGTCAATTTGAAGTTGAGTCTAGTGGCTTCCGCTAAATCTGTGGTGGTGGTAATGCTGGTGATAGTGGTGAGTAGCAGTGGCAGCAGCAGTAAAGCTGTTGCAGGCAAGTGCAGTGGCAGTAGCAGAAGGAGTTGTGGCAGCAGAGGTGGTTGTAGTAGTGGTTTGTAGTAGCACTTAGTGGCTTCCGGTAATTAATTTTGGCTGGAATGGGAAGCCAATTTGAAGCTGAGTCTAGTGGCTTCCGCTAAATCTGTGGTGGTGGTAATACTGGTGATAGTAGTGAGTAGCAGTAGCAGCAGCAGTAAAGCTGTTGCAGTAGTAGCAGCAGGTGGCAAGTGCAGTGGCAGTAGCAGAAGGAGTGGTGGCAGGAGAGGTGGTTGTAGTAGTGGTGGCGGTGGTCGTGTGATCCAAGGGCTTGGATCACACACCCACCTTTTGATCCATACCCCATGGATCGAGGTATGGATCGTGTGTGGGTTTGGGTGTGTGATCCAAGCCTTATGTTTCTGGCCGTAGCCAAGTAATTACCACTGCGTCTGCATCTGTTTCACCAATGCATCTTCAGAAGCGGCGCTTTTTCACACAGATTGTTGGTCCAGTCGAGCCGCTGGTTGAAAACTGCCTCTGTAATGGCTTCCCGGGAGGACGGGACCCTCCAATCTGCTTGGATCAGAAAGCGCAACCCATAGGATCGCAGCGGCAACCAGGCGTAGGCTTGCTCCACACCTGGCTGACGGAAAAGGAATAATGACGGCCGAGGCACCGACCTCAATTCGAGTAATTACTCAGTTGAGGTAGAAGTCTCCTTGGAATAATTTGGGTTGAAATAGCTTTGGAACCTCGTTCAAATCACAAGGCCTGCAGGCTTCTCTAGTCGGAAGGCCAGCTTCCTGAGCAACAACGTGAGCACGTGTCCAAGCATGGGGATAGCACCCTTGTTGGTGCGCCATCATAGTGGACCATGTTTGGGAAATTGGAGATAGATGGCAGTAGATGGGGCCGTCTAACATTCGCATCCAATCTATTAGCTACGTTGGCTATGCCCAAGGCACAGTTCTGTGATTGCTTCACCTTCAAGCTGCACTGGCTTTGTGTAGACCAACCAGCGCTCTTCCATCACTTCTTGCACCTTCAACGGACACGGCACAAGGGCCTGAAGGAGGTGAACATACTTGAACAACAGCAAAAGGATGGCATTCAACCCAAAGTAAGATCAATGAAAGAATCATTGCGGCCTCTGGTCAATTTTTGCCGCAAAGCAGAATTGAACATTACAAGTTCCGCGTCTTTATTTCTTTACATATTGTTTGAATTGTTGTTTTGTCGCGAACCGGTTTCCAGGCTTTCCTGACTCTTTCAAAATGGTGTCCTAACTCGGACGCTGGGGTTTCCCGATTCACGTTTCCCTGACTCCTCCCACAAGTAATGGCTTAATTCAACCACGCTGCATCTGAAAGCTCCTCCGATTTCAGCTTGATCTCCTGCCAACTGGACAAGGATCGATTCAAGGAGAGCCTGCTCTCTTGGAGGACACCGTGTACAGTAAATACACTTTGTCTGCCCTGTGTTGTCCTTTGTCTTGACGAACGCTTTCCAACAATCAACAAATCTGAGACATGCTGGAACTTGCAATGTCTTCTCCTGGCAAGAGGCTTCACCAACTTCGGCTTCAAGCACCTCTTTTGTCATGGTTCGGGTTCTCCCGCTGTTTTTGTCAATAGCCTGCTTGGCAAAACAGAACCCGCCAACTACGTCGAAGACACGCTTTGCCGAATATACAAGAGAATCAAGTCTACCTGCACACATTCCAGTTTTTGAAGGAAAAGGAGAAGAGTTGGTCGCATATCTTGCAAAGCTCTGGTAGCAACATCACTAGCTCGTAGACCGCGCTTCTTTAGCGGTCCTGGCTTGCGGAGGCCAAGCCCCAAGCAAAGAGTGGCAAATCGAAAGGCAGCTGATCGCTTTCTGTTCTGATTCAAGAATCAGGCACTGAGACGCGTTGTGAAGCATAATGAAGCATATAGCTTTTGTCCGCAAACATGAATCCCTCTCCTTCGGAACTGCTCAATGGGAGGACCAATTGAGTGCCAGTTTGTCTCGATACTGGAGTCACTGGAGTCAAAGGAAAAGGCAACAAAGATCCCAAGCCGTTCCTGGTCCGACATGTCTTTGTGTCTCCATGAATGCGGGCTTTGTGGTGGCACGAACAACTGACTTGGATATAGAAGCCCAGAAACAGGGCATCGGCATCAAAGTGAAAATGAAATCGACCAGAATGGATCACCGGAGTAGCAGTCACCAAGAATACCTCAAAGATTACACAGAGCCCTGAATCACAAGCTTCGGCAACGCATTTACGTGCTTTCCGAAGGCGGGTGCTCTTACCAGTGTTCAGTTTTAAGCGATGGGATGCTTTGACTGACGGAGACGCCTTGAAATGCTGCCAAGCTACTGATTTGAAGCCAATGCCTTTTGCACCAATGAAGCGTTTCTCGCGCGCTTTTTTGGTAGATTTGTCAATGTCACAAATCGCCACCACGTTGTTCTCCTGCGGTGTTACTTGAATACTGGGAAGCACTGACACTAGCCCAACACCTTGTACTGAAGGGTGTTGATCCAACCTTGCCTATGGATCTGTTATGGAGATTCGCATGCTGCATGTATTCAATATTGGTACATTCAACTAAGGGAGACGTGCGGAGTGGTGATTTGCGATGCTGTGAAGTGCAACCTGGTGATTGTGCTGCGGTAACGTATGAACTGTGTATTATATATACCATTGCAGTAACTATAACGTGTTTTTGCTGGAAATCTCTGGAAGCCTCTATCTTGATGTTAACCACTTAGCCCAACTCTGATGGTTTTGCCAAATATAAAACCTACAAAATGCAAAAGCAAAACACGGCAAATCCAAAAAGCAACAAATGCAAAATAAAAAAGCATCCAAAAAGCGGAACAAAACACACACACACAAATGAAACAGCAAAAGCAAACAAAAGCAAATCCAACAAGGAAAAAAAAGTGAAACAAACGACGAAAAAACATAAAACGTCCCCGAAAGGCGCCAAAACGAAAAGGCAAAACAACATAATATGAAAAAAGAGTGAAACAACTAAAGGCAAGCAGAAAATCGAGAAGAAACACAACTAAAAACGTGAAAACATGACGCCCCCCCACCCAACAAAAACATAGTGAAAAACACATGTGAAAAACTAGGACGCCATATTGCTTGTTCATGTTTGTTGCTCTTTGGATGTGTTTGTTGGCTTTGGTTGTTCATTTGCGTTTTTTTTTTAAATATAGTATGCTCAAGATTCTCAGAGTTAGCCTGGGTCCGGCGATGTAAACTCTATCTCTAACTTGTGTTCTCGGTCCTTACTTTTTCTCTAGATTCTAGACCGCTGTTCCCCGATATTCTTTGGAAATCCCTGCCAATCTCTACCTCTCTCTACCTCTCCCCGCCAAACTCAAGTCTCTCTCCCTCTCTCTCTCTCTCTCTCTCCCGTTCTGCAATATGCTCTACAAGTTGTCTCGGTTGGGCCAGCATGCCAAAATTCACGCGTCGGAAATCGCCAAACCCTCCAGCAACTGTCCACAACCTTCACACCGACAGGGCAACTGACTGGCTGGCCCATCAAGCATGCTGACTGGCGCTCGAAAGAATATGCAATGAGCTAACTGGGTGGCAGGGTCCAATTTTAGGTAACTCGGAAGTTCTCAAACAGTTTATGAGGGCACCTGTCACGCATGGATTATTTTGGGACACCCTCTCCTGGAAGCCAGCTTCATTGTGTTCTACCACCAGCAGCCCATCCACCCTGGATGAAGTTTTGAAGCTGGTGAAGTCTGCAAAGTGATCTTTCCTGAGAAATCATCGTATGACCCGACGGGACTGTGCCAGTACAATCAAGCTATTGAAAATTGAAAGAGCACAGCAACACCATCCCCTGCCTGCTTTCGTAGGTCAGCCGCAGAGTCGGCTTCTCACCTCGCAGCAGCTTCAGTCTCAGCAACAAGTGGATTAATCTTAAGCTCCATGATGAACCTTCAGGATACTGACAGTCATCAACGTTCTGCAGCAACTCCAACAAGAAGTGAGCCTGTACAGCAACACAAAGCACTAATTCGGAATCCTCAAACTTGGCATGGAAAAGGCTCTGCAAAATTCTGCAAATACATCTCAGCACCTTCGCAACGTTTTGCACAAGCATACAGCTGGCGCCTCGCCACTGTACAAATCCTCTGACAATCGCTTCACAGCACCCTGCACCGTGGATTGCAATGCGCGAATGCCCTCATCTTCGGGCTCCTTCACCCAAACACGCTTGGCTAAGTCCACATCATTGTAGTCCACTTTCCTCACGTGGGATGCCCATGCCGCTCTTCGACAAGACTGTTGCAGTCAAGGCGCTTCATTGCGGCAATTCGCCAGCAAAGCTCCTTGCGGAGAACACCAAGCAAGGGTGCTTTCCCGAGCTGCACCACACTGACAGCATCTGACAGCGGTCCTCGTTGGTTTTCAAGTCCCCGGCCACTTTTGGAAAGGAAGCAACTGCAATGACTTCCTTTTGGTCTTCCTTCTTCCCGCCGTCCTGGCCCAAAAAAGTCAAAAGGTTTGACGCTTTCTTCAAGACGTGTCCGTAGAGGTTGCAATCAAAAGCCTTGACTATATACATGACTAGTTGGTTCACAATCACGGGACACTCTCAAACAGAGTGCTGAGTACTGACTATCTATCGAAGGCCTTGAAGGCATCTTCTGGGATAGCTTCCTCGAAATCTGTCAAATGTAGTGCAGGGCCCGTTGCTGCAATGGCAGTAGTCTTGACAGATTGCCAAGAGCGTTCTTTCCATTCATCGATTCCAAAATGATGCCCTAAGCGCTTCAAAGCCATCTGGGCGTCAAGGCAACATGAGTTCTCTGGGCTAAAGGCTGTACCTACCAGTGCCATGCGCGAACGTTCCAAGCATAAATACCCTGACGCAATGATGTCAAGTACCAGTTTGGCCACTTTGACCACCTGTCGCGGCAAAGCCGCAACTGCCTGCAGTACAAAATCCTCCGGGTTTGAGATGAAGACGTAACCATCTGTGATCGTTTCTGTCATTAGTTCAACTGGTGCTCTAGCCTGTTCCCGGACCAAACGAGCAACCACAATCCCAGCAAGGGCGCGCCCATCACCTGCCTTCATGGCAGTTGCCATGTTACTACTCTCACATTCCTCTGGCACGGGCAAGCGAACAAACGTCCCATGGTTCAGCTCCATCAAGCATCCATCCTTCAACTTCTGCCGCAAAGCCAAGGTACACTCCCGAGACCTCAAAAACTCTGACAGACCCATGCCCAAAGCCCCATATGCCACGTCCCATTCTTCCAACGCTTCTGCCAGATCCAACAGCACTGGCGCCTGTAGCACTGCTTCCACCGCCTCGTCAACGAGATCAGTTCTATCCTGCCCGGTGGCAGTTTCCTGTAGTGGAGGCCGAAAATATCCTGCAGACGCGGCTGCACGGTGGAGTCGAAGTGTGTCCTCTCCATCAGAGGGTTCCCACAGTCTTTTGTCGTCTCGTTTTCGGTCAGCAGGACGGATCGCATCTTCCAACGCAGCATCTGTGATGCGTTCAATCTCTTTATCAGTCCTTGGCTCACAGCAGGGTGAAACATGGTGAAACCAGTTTCATAGATATGCCGCAACGAAAGGCACGACAGCAGTTGGTGAGTGACTCCCGCTTTGCAAGCAAGGCGCAAACATTGGGCAAACTGTTCCCTCGTACTCTGAAGGGTCAATCTCTTCCAAGCAGCATGACCAAGAGATTCCTTCAGACTCAGCAAAGCGAGCTCTACCAAAATGCATGGCCTGCGCGTGCCTTTGGGGCAATTAATCAATATGTAAAGAGACGTTATGTAAAGTCTGAGGTCCCAGCATGGGAAACACCTGAGGCCACGGAACGGCAGAAGGCCTCCAGTCCAGAATCAAGGCGTTGACAAATGAACTGGTTCATGGTTTCGGCATCCTTGGCATGTATACTACAAACATACACACACATTATCTTGGAATAATTGCATAAATATGTTATGTATAGACATCAGCTTCCAAACACTGAGTGGAAACAAACGGTCGAAATGTTTGACCTGAAAACTTCTGATTTAAATTCAGTTTAATATGCATTTGCAGGAGTCTGTTGAAGACCTTTGCCGCCAAAATGCTGTCGCCGATTCCTCCATATGCAGAGTTGAAGTGGTAAGCCCTGCAGCAGCTGCGATGGGTCCACTGTTTTGCCTTAGATCTCGTCCTACAGTATCTCTAACCCTCGACAGCTCCTGCCCTGGCACTGGCACAAAGTGACCATGGTTCTCATTGGCTTGCAAAGCCGCGTGCAAAATGTGAACCCCAACCCTGTCGCAACACGGAAAAAATGTATTTTGCGACGTTGCTCCCCGCCAAACTAACCATATTCGCACAAACAAGCTACGCCACCCAAGTTCCAAAAAAAGAGCTGAGACCCAAATCTTTCCAGGCTCTTGATTCTTCGGTGCGACCAATCCTTGACTGCTGAAGCTACATCGAGTGATCCAGTCATCAAATCGCATGTGCTGAAGCATGCTGAACCCTGGAAACAATGAAATCATGTAAAATAACGTAAAGTAAGTTAGAAGAATGTAAAATACAAACAGCCAGCAAGGCGTCAATTCCAAAATCTTCTCGAAACTCTCAGAATTTGAACGCACCTTTCGGCACAGGTCTTGAAGGATCTTCTGGTCCAAGTTCACTGGAAGCCGCTCAAACGCTGTTTCCTGCAAATGTTTGCTCCTCTCTCAAGTGTGCTGAACACTAGAATGCAAACACAAGGAGCACGGCATTCTCAGGAACACGATAAAACACTAAGTTCAAATTGCTGAAACCAATTGGGTGAATGCTTGAAGAGCAAACACCACCCAACAAGCCTCGCCAAAAGGGTATACGTCTGCCCCTTCTTCATCTTCCAACACCTCAAGTTTCGAAGCGCCCTGGCCCTGACCATCCCTGACCCAAATCCTGCTGAGGCATCAGCGGCTTGGCAGTTGGAAGCCTCCTCCGTAAATTCAGCAGCATCAATTAATTTGTTCTCCATATCGCCTCCCGTATCTCCTTGGCTGGCCGGCAAAATGCCGAAAACAGTTTTCTGGCAACAACTGAATGCAAACAAACCTTAAACGTGAGAGGCATACCTCGCCCGGTGGCAAGTTGGCAGTGGCGGTGGCTGCAATTTTTGTCGTTGCGGCTGGCGCTGTCATTGTCGCTTCGGCTATTGTTACGGTTGTTGCTGCGCCTGCTGTTGTGGAGGAGGTGGGTGTCTTTGACACCCAAGATAAAACCTAACTGCTTGGGCGGGTGTCTTGGACACCCACCCCACAAAAACAAACTACCTACCACCTACCTTACCCCGCCCGAGAAGTCACATTCTGCCATCTGCCTTTGCTCTTTCTCCTTCTCCAACTTGGCCAAATTGGGGAAGGAGAAAGAGCAAACACAAATGGCAGAATGTGACTTCTGGGGCCTAGCGCCAGTAGAAAGAACATCGTCATCTGTTTGATCTTTTGTAGTTGTAGCTGTCGCATGCTGTAGCAATCGTTTTGGCTCTGAGTCTCTGAGTCTCGTTCTTGCAGGACTTCACGGTTTTTGCTGCCTTGGTCGTTGACATCATTGTTATGGATGTGGAGCGTTCTTTTCCGGCACACGTCGGCAGTCGAACACACCTATATATATATATAACTATGAAGGAACCATGTCCAAAACCTCACTTGCGAGCACAAAGCTTAACTCTCTTGCGCACGCAGGCACCGACTTGTTTGCCCTTGGGTCGCTCACAAAAGGTCTATCGTTGGAATGGCTCTCACGTGGCTGACAATAGGTATGCACCATTGGAACAGCACCTTCTTTCTATGAAAATCACCCTCGGGGTGGCTCACAAAGTTCTGCACCGTTGGAATGGCACATAGTGGCACCTTCCAACGCTAAATTTTGCCCTCGGGTACTACCTTGGAGTGGCAGCTTCCTCTAATTTCTTTGCCCTCGCTTGGCTATCAAGGTCTGCGACATTCTTCGACCTTCACTAAATTTTCCCCTTGGGTGGCTCAAAAAGGGTCCGCGCTGTTGGAATGGCACCTTCCTCCTCTAAATTTTACCTTCAGGTGGATCACGAAAAAGGTCTGCATCCATTGGAATGACACCTTTCTCCCAAAAATGTTTAATAAATTTGGCTTGCCCTTGCGCCGTTGGAATGTCACCTTCCTCCTCTGTGACTCACAAAAGGTCTGCTATTGCAATCTATTGTACGTAGTTTCTACCTTCGCATGGCTCACAAAATGTCTGGAAAAAGGTCCGAATTCTACCATCACCGTTGGAATGGCACCTTCCAGCCGTAAATGTTACCCTTGGGTGGCTCACCAAAGGTCTGCTACCTTGGAGTGGCACTTTCCTCCAACTTGCACGTGTACAAGCAAAGCGTTTTCCGCGCGCAAGCAAGACGATTTCCGCGTGTTAGAAACGAGTGCCATGCCTTCTTTGCCTGTTCGCGCCAAGTGGTTTGTTGGCCCTCGTGTTTGGTGGTTTATGGTTCATTTGATTTTCGTCATGGTGTGATTGGCACACTGATTCCAATCCTGGTGGTTTGGGTGGAGGGCGCATTCAAATCCAAAAATTGAACATGGGTTGGGCTCAATTGGCTAGCTGCTAGCTTGCGCTCCCTTTTGTGGTAAAATGTTTGGAACCCTCAGTGATCTTGCGCACTTTGAGTAGCTTGCAGCTAGGTCTCCAACATCCTCCTTTTGTGGAGCGATTTGCAAGAGCTCTCGGAAGATCTCCCGCGCATACATTGACACAAACACAGAAGTTGTTGCTGCTGCGTCTTCTTGCCGCGATGCACGCGGGTCTGCTCTTGATTTGGAAAGGCCTCAAAAATGGTGACTACTGCACCCAAAGCTTCAAGAGAGGATTGCAACCAGATTTGGCAGCTGTAAAATGATGTATATAAAATGTCAATCAATCGAATCTCTCCCAAGCAGCTTGCAACAAACGCCTGCCGGTTCTCATGCGTGGCGAGCTTCGCAAGCCTTAGTTTCCGACCGTCTTCATGAAACGGTTGCCTGGCCAGTCCCCATCCACGGTTCCCAATAAGGTGGCCTAGAAACTCAACAAGAAAATCTTCGTGGTCCTTGGCGTGACTCAACGCTATCCACTGCGCTAGGACTCGAATCAAGCGGTTGCCGCCACCTAGCAGAGCATGACTCAATGCAGAGCTGCCACAATAACAACCGTTCTCCGATTCTGGCGCCTCTCCACAGGGCAAAGCTCTGGCCCCTTTCAGCACGTCGCATGGGAATCAGCTGCGTTAAGAAGGAACCTTCTTGGATGGCAATACCTGGCGGCAACAAATTAGCTAAGCAAACACGCACACGTTTCGGCCGATGCAAATTGAGAAAATGTGGTGACAATCGCACTGGCCTAGTTGATTCCAGTGACTGAAGCCATACTCAGCCGCGAGTTTCATCAAACTATCCACCAGTGACCTTGACCTTTTCATGGACAACCGGCTTCCCGAGCCAAGCATTGGCGCCACAATTGGTTCGGAGAACAGTTTGACGATAAGTTCTGAAGAGCTAAGTCGTGGGAAATCCTCCGGGATGACCTCCAATTGCTCGAACCCAAAGGCCTTTTGCACCAGAGGGTGGAACTGCAGCTTTCCAATGGAAACATCTTCCAATCGTTTTGTCTTTCTGAACATTGGATGGCTCAGCACACTCATCTCCAAATCATGCATTGTCAGGACAGGCTGGCTTGCAAGACTTGTTCTGATGGCAGTTTCCACCAGCAAAAGGGTTTTAACATATCCAGCAAGCATCTTGCCAACAAAGCGGTCCTTGAAAAGCTGATCCTCAGCCAAGCAGGCAGTCAGTAGTCGGGATTTCCTTTTCCTGCCCAAATATTGCTAAGCGGGGCGCACCCCTAATATCAAAGGATCTTGCATGCCCTAATAGTAACAACAATGTTGACATAGGGTTAAGCAACCTCCCCTATTAATCAAACCCAGCTCGAGCCCCCACAATAAACGCATGTACAGGCTACATGTTTTGGCATCACCCGACATGTTTCTTGGCATAAGCCTTCCCCCTGCCCCCAATAAATATTATATACAGTATATATATATATATATGCAACCTAAGCTGCCGACGTGCTGCCAAGCAATGTTTGTTCCACAATCCCTAAAAACTCCTCTCAGTTTTTCATGTTCCCTCTTAGAGCCGTATCAGTATCTTAAACTTTTTGAAGGCACAAAGAGGAACCCCCCACACAAGCCCTAGCGTTCACACAGAGTCCTATCAACCATCAACCATCATCAGGTCATCACCTTTATTAGGGTCACCTTTATTAGGGGGATATATGGTCTCCAACATCACCTCCAAACTCAAACATTGTTGACCCTGTTGACATTGAAGGGGGGCCCTTTGATTAATCCGACGACAGTATCGGTACAAAGGCTGGCTTGTTTGGACCGCCCCGGTCCCTGAGCCGCCGCGACGACAACTCGCGTCGATTGAAGACAAGAACGTGGTGCAAGTCAAAAGGTCCCTTTCCCCTCACGTACGCACCGACCGCTTACCGCTCTTCGGCGTTCCATTTGAAATGATCGCGGCGGCCGCTAGACATTCCGCCATGCGCGATCCACGCGCCCAGGTCGCGCCACATGCCGAAATGATTTTTCATGGGCGCAGGCCGTGCATGTTCCATTTCTACTGCTAGTGGTGTTGTTCCACGAAAAAGGGTCTGAGATGTTGGCCTCTGCTGTGACTTGATGCCAGTCCACTCTCATTGAGGAATGTCAAACAAGAAAAGTGAAGCAGCCGGTTTGCCTTTTGATCCGTGCTGCATCCCTTTTGACATTCCTGGTTCGTTGTACTGTTCGTGGTCAATGAGGCAGACGCAGTGGGTCTCCAGCTGCATGATGGCCGATGTCAATGAGAGCATATAGATGAAGGCCTTCTGGCTCGTGGATCTTCCTAGAATTTTCCCAGTATTTTGTCCATGGAGCATACGGACCGTCATCAGACTTCTTTACCACCAAGCAACAAATAACTGCATAAGGATTGAAAACGCGCAACAAACATGCTCGGCCCAATGGCGCAGCAATCTTGAAAACCCTTAAGGCGGTCGCAGCGCAGGCAGGGGTTAGAAGAATATACCTGAAGGATGCTTTCCATGCTTTGACATTGAGTGATCATAATGATCCATATGGACAGCGGACGCGCCCAACCTGATGCTGATGCTCAATGTTTGGGGCTTCGGGGTGAAGAGTGAAGAGGGACCTGCCATCCTCGTAGTCCACCTTTGTCGTTAGCGCCTACGCCGGCCCTTGCTGAAAGGGAGGGAGAGTGCGCGGCGACCTCGACAGCATGGCAGTGCACTTTTTTCTGGTGTCTTCGAAGCCTTTGGTAGCTCTGGCTGACCAATACAGGTAGAAGCGCCTATGGCAGGTGGGTGGCGCTGCGCTTCGTACCACCGCGACGGGTGATCCACAAGAAAAGCACTGCAGCGGCGAGTTCGAGGATTTTTGCCTCTCTGTTTGAGAACATTACAAGTTTCAGGGCACACGGCAACTCTGTCCTACACATATCATGAGTCTTGACCGTACTGAATGATGACCCCCTGCGTGAATGCAAATTTCAAGACTCAAGCCAGCGGTCCTTCTTCCACAATTAATTCCAAAGCCGATCACCCGGTTCTCTCTCACAAAGTTTCTCCAGCGCATGGGCGTGGCCGGCGTGCATGAAGGTCATCGGCTGCATGGGCGTACTTGCCGTCAGTCCGTTTCTTCAGGTCGGCCCAAACCAGCGAACCGAGGTCATGGCACCCCAAACGCATGTCCTCCATGTCTAGCCGCCCTTTTTCGCGAACTTCTCAGCAGACCATGCTGCAAAGATCCGGAGGCCAAAGGCGCAGCGTCTAATGAAGTCCGGGATGCTTGAAGGGGTCTTGTGAGCGCCGCTCCCAATTTCGGCGTCCGTTCCCCACTGCGCTTGCCCTTGCCCTGATGCCTTTCCCGAGCTTATCTGGCGGCGTCAGCAATGAGCCTGTTTGCAATGAGCCTGTGTCTCCATGAATGACGCAACTCATGCTAGATCCTGCAGTCAATTACACACGCAAACGGCCTCGGGCGCAACCTCACAATGTTGGTCATCATCAAGGGCCATCACTCAAGTGACCTGACCTGGCTTCAAATGAAAATCACGATCAAAGGGCTCACAAAGCCCGCGCACACTATCACCTCAGCTCCATTAAGGTGGATGGGTGTCTACTGTGAGGGTGTGGGTCGTATTTTGGTGTTGCCAGTGCTGGATCATGGAGTGGACGGCATCAATAAGGCGATGTTGTGAAACTGAAGAAGCCAACGAGGTCGTCTTGGTGGCGTAGAAAGTAATGTCGGGTGGTGTATCAGCGAGGTAGCAGTGGAAGTGGCGCCAAAGTTGAGGTATAGAAAGTTGGCCTGGGTGTTGGGGGTAAAGGTGTTGTAATATAGTGTCAAGTGCTCGGCTGGTGATGCGCAAAAGGTTGCCGCTAAGGGACTGGAAATATGAGATGATGGTACGTCCCTTGTTCCAGTGCTTCTTTTCTTTGAGGTGAACAATGCCGTAAGGGATTGTGAAGTCTTTGCGAAATCCCCACTTGTATTTGGTTCGTAGAACAGTGGGAATGGTAGCGGTAAGGTGGTCGTGGATGTTGGAGGAGGTCAAATGCGGAAGTGGTTCAAAAAGTTCCGGAGAGTGCCAAGTGTTCAGAGCACCGGCAAAGTATTGGCGTGGACAGAAAATGCATGAAAATGCGAAGCTGTTGGAGTTCGTGGTCTGCATGGTGAAGAACCACCTTGTCACCAAGAAACTCTTGGAGCTGGCGGATGAGACGAGCTGTGAATCGTGGCTGGTGCTTGAGATCTTGAGTGTGGAGTCGCCATTGATGCTGGAGAAACGGTTCCAAGTGGTGGACAAGGGAGGGTGGAAGGCCCTGAACGCGTAGCCATTTGGAGAAGGCGGTTTGGAAAGTGAGGAAGTACCTGGCTTTGCTGGGATAGAAGGTGCTGTTCATGTTGGCCGCGAGAAAGATGCGTAGGTGTGGAGGTAGTTGCAACTGATCGAGGGTGAGAATGTAGTGGCCGGATCCAAAAGGAGGGCGCGGAGGTGGGCACAGGCACAGGGTAAGTCGTTTGCCCGTGGTGGAGTGTGGAGGGTTTCTTCCCAGGTGCGATGGTTGTGGAGTTGCGCTCGCAGTGTCTTGTGTGCTGCTTCACGTAGACGGTGTGTAGGAAGGTGTAGTGCGATGGCTAGGTGTTTGTGTTGTTGGATGGTGGTCTGCAACCACTGCTGGCAGTGCTTGGTGAAGTCTGTGTGAGCCAGGAAAGGCACGGTGAGGGGAAGGTTGGGTTTTGGAGGGGTCAAGTTGCGATAGTGGAGTGCTTTGTTGATAATGTGCAGTGCTCGGGTACGACCTGGCTCTTCCAGGTTGGCTGCCATACGTCGAATGGCGTAGACTTCGAAGTCCGTGCGACGGCCACTGCGGAGCTGTTTTGTGAGGTCGCGGAGGAGAGTGAGGGCATGATGTTTTGTGGAGGTGAATAGGTAAGGTTCACGGAGGGTCTGCTGTCGTCGGCGAAGCTTGCGAAAAAGACGTTTGTGGGTGGCTAGGCGGGAGTAGAAGTGGGCACGATGTTTTGTGAACTGCCAGCCTTCGGCTTTGAGCTTGAGGTGTTGGGAAATGAACGGCCAGTTGAGAGGTGGCATCCAGTTGGAAATGTAGTGATGTTCCTGGATCCAGGCTTGATCGTAGTTGTCATGGGCATGGGAGGAGAGTTGGATTGGGGTGAAGTGATGCATATTGTTGTAGGAATGCCAGTATCATAAGGAGAGTTCTGCGGAGACTGGTATGCTGTTTTGGAGTTGTTTTAGCTTGGCACGCCGGTTGTGTTCCCGATGGGGGATGCCAATGCTGGTGGAGCCGATGTAAAAATGGCCGTGTTGGTGGTAGCATCGGTGTGGTGTGAGGTTGTTGAAATAGAGCTTGACGTAAACGGAGTTGGGTGAGAGAAAGTGGTGGTAATGATAGGTCTGGGGAAGCACCTGGAGGTGTTGTAGTCGTTGGCGCCATTGTTGGGAGCGTTGTGTGGAGGATGGATAAAGCAAAAGAGCACATTGTTGGGAGCGTTGTGTGGAGGATGGATATAGCAAAAGAGCAGAGTGATGTGGATGAGGCCGACGGCAAAGATGGCTTCGGCTCGTTCTATGTATTGGCTGTAGTGGATAAGTGTGGAGAGGGCTTGGTGTAAGCGGTGGAGGAGTTGCAAAAGGTTGGAGTGCGGCTGAAATTGGCTGGATAAGGAGAGTCAGCAGGCCACCGCTGCTCCCACGCTCACGATTTGCTGGAAGCTCTTAATCGTAAGCTTGTTCACACGAGTGAGGGGGAGGCCATAGCGGGTTGCTGCTTCCTTGAGCTGGTCAGTGGTGATTTTGTTGGTTTGTAAGATGCGCAGGATTTCGTTGGCGGAGTCCTGGATGGCGGTGTCAAAAGTGCGCATCCACTGTTGGATGGCTGGTGTAGTCCATGCCTCTGGGACATCATCCTTTAAGGATGGATGGGGAGGTTGCAGGACGTCGGCCAGAGCTGGAGGCTGGTGGGGTGCAGGATCCGCAGGGGCAGTGGGAGCGCTGGGCAGAGCCGGAGTGGCAGAGGATCGACCAGAATCTTTGCGTGGTGTGAGCTCGAGCCCATGGGCCTGAAGTTTCTGGCGCGCTCTGGCGAGGTCATCGGTGGTGGACTTGAGGGCGCGAAGTGCAGAGCCTTCGGCAGCAGCTGGGGCATGGGTCTGGAGTTGCTCGGTGATAAGAGCAA